CAGAATGGCTTGCTTCCTCTTTGGACACTGATCTGTTTGAAACATCAAGGTTGTAGTCCTCAGATTTGTCCTGAAAGCCATCTTGGGAAAGTTAATTTCTGCTGAATTGAATTCCAGGATCAGTGCTCAACTTCCGTGACACACGCTCGGGTTGGCAGCCACTTTGTTCCTAACCAGCATGTGGTCCATTCCTATAACCTCTTTAGAACTTTAGTTTTCTCACCTCTAAAATGAAGCTGACATAACATTGTCTCTGCTTGTCTGAGAGAGCGCTACAAGTATAAAACAAGAACGTGTGTGAAGCAACTTTGTAAATGGTCGAGGGTACAAATGAAACACCCAGTAAGCTTTGAGCTTCATATAAAGGTTCCAATCAATCAATTGCTGCCCAGTCAGCACCTACTCATGACAGACCAGTGCATGTCAGAGTAGAGCTGTGCCCCACTGGACTTTCATTGGCTGTCATCTTATGGAGGAAGTAGGTCACCTTCCATAGCACCTCTGGGTGAGCCAGAACCTCCACCCATTCATTCAGCAGCTGAACATGTTTCCATTCACATCACTCAGGGACTTCTCCATAAAGTTTAGAACTTGGCTATTAGACATTTTGAGGAGCTCGCGTTACACTATGGGGTCCTGGGTGGCATTGTAGGATAAGCACTGGACTACTAGCCACAAGGTTTGTGGTTCAAGCTCACCAGTTGCTCCTCAGAAACCCTATACAGGGATGCTATGAGTCAAAACCAACTCACTGCACAACAACAGTGAAGCAGTGGTTATGGGCTCAGCTGCTAATCAAAAGGTCAGTGGTTTCAACCCATCAGCCTCTCTGTGTGAGAAAGATGCAGCGTTCTGTGTCCATACAGATCTACAGCCTTGGAAACCCGATTGTTAAGTGCCATTGAGTTGGTTCCAACCCATACTAACCCTGTAAGGGTTTCCGAGAAGCAGCTGGTGATTTGAACTGCTGACCTTGTGATCTTGGAAACCTTATGGGAAAGTTGTATTCTGTCCTATAGAGTCACTGGGAATCAGAATAGACTTGATAGTAATGGGATTTGATGTTAGGTCTTTAGAGGATCCTTGTTTGTGTTGGCTACTAACCTGAAGTTTGGTGGTCCAATTAACCTAACAGAATTGTCTTACATGTCCAGAAAATGTGTGTAAGAGAATTCCACCCAGTGGTGCCAAGGAAGAAAGATTGGGCAATCTGCTTCCACAATGATTACAGTCAAGAAAACGCTATGAAGCAGTTCTACTCTGTAACACATGGGGTTCCCATGACTTGGAGTTGATGCTACAGCAACGAGTTTTTTATTAGTTGTTTATGAGCCTCTGCCTTCCTGACCTTGGGCTAGGAAGCCTGTGTACAGATGACCACAGAGTAAGTCCTGTCCACAGAGTGACTGGCCTGAGCAGGTGCTTACTCTCAAGCACAAACAGACAAGGTGCTCACAGTGTCCGCAAAGTAATAAGTAAATATTAGTGAAAACTCAAAGCACTTATTTCAATCCTGATGTCATTGATTTAGCTAAACTTTCACCTTTTATTGCCACCCCTCAAGTGTTTTACATTCTAAGAAGAAATGGTTAGAGGAATGGAGATGAGATAGAAGCCTTTAGGACCAGAACAAGATTGATCCCAAGACCATACTAGTTGAGGACTGAAGTTCAGCTATCAGTTCCTCCGTGTTGGCCTTGCAGCTTGACTCTCTCATCCCCTCCTACCCTTAATTCTAACATTCAACTGAATTGCTGCTCCCCAACCAGCCTTGTTTCACTGCACTGTGCCTTTTGCCCATGCGCTCAACCACCCGGAATGAACTCCACCCGATTTTGCCTATTTGTTAAGGGAACATCTACTTATCTTAGAAGACTCAGATCAAGCTTTGATTCCTTTATTCAAACCTTCTTCAAGGGAAACTGGCTTCATCCTTCTTGTGCCCTGCCTCTATCTTGAACAACTTACAGTGTCTGCCTCTCTACTCATTGATGTGACTTTCCTCCCTGCCAGATTACAGACCCCTTAACATAGTCAGCAAGGAGCTATGAGAGCATAGTGGTTACGATTCAGGCTGCTAACCTCAAGGTCAGCAGTTTGAAACTATCAGTAGTTCCACAGGAGTAAGATAAGGATTTCTGCTCACATAAAGATTTACAATCTTGGAAACCCTATGCAGGGTCGCTACGGCACACCACCACCACCAAGGTAGTAAGCGCCTGGTAACTAAGATGAAAAAAGGTGAGGACAAAGTTTGGAGTTATTATACTTAGACTTTTTTTATTTAAGAGTTTAGGGAATCTGTTTAGTATAAGGGAAAGCAGAAATGAATTCTTCCTATAACTTGGTTAATGTTTGACATGTAGCTTTAAGAGCAAGAAAGTATTCTGAAATCAAAACAGAATGCAAACCCAATAATCCCATACACTTAAAAAAACTCTAGAATTTTAGACTAGTTTCCTATCTAGTTTTAGTTTGGATGGAGACACATAGAACAAATGTAGTGCAGTGAGGGGACTAGTCCAGGGCTATGTAGCCATGTCATTCTTAGATGCAGTCTGTTGCCCTCACAATCCTGAGTGGATTGACTTCACTCTACACATCTGAATGCTCTGTATGGATCACAAACAGAAAGCGTATCAGAATGACTTCATAGATCAAAATAAACCAAGAAGAAAAGGTTGTGATTTCATTTGATTGCTGCCAGTGGCTCCTGTAAACAAAGTTTTTTTTTTTTTCATTCTAACTCAATTTTGTTAGCAAATCACATCAGTTGAACAAACTGATGCAGTAACTGGAAAACGATTAGGCCTGTTTGGTCGCAACAGGGCATTAGCTAGACTTTCTGTTCTCACTAGCCTGGCTCCTGTGGTCAGTCTGCTTACACAGGCTCCAGGTTAGGAAAACATGAATACAAATGATCCTCACCAGGGGCAATGAGAATATGATTGTCATCACTGGCATCCCCCTCACACAGGCAAAACAGTGTTAGGGGCGCAGTGATTTGATAGGTTGCCACGTCCTTCTCCCTAAGTGAATCAGAGACCCTTTTGAAAATGTAATAGGAAAGGTCTAGTGAGTGTCTTCCCCTATTACTGTTGACATCCGCATATTAATGGACTTCATTTCCCATTGAATGCAAATGTGTTATTTGACAAAAGGGTAATGTTGATAATGAAAATTAAATTTAGGAAGAACAGATTACAGCAACAATTGGAAAATAAGAAAATAAAACCCCATTTTACACTAATGTCATGTAAATTTTCCTTTTCCTAATGAAGGGTCCTCTTGTTTTACACATGTGCTATTTCCCAGAAATCTGTTTTGTGAGACAAACTACTGTTTTGTATGGAGATTCATAGCATGCATTCTCATTTGTTCTGTGAGTAATTTTAAATTGGCAGTTACTGTTGTCTCCTTGTGCTTATTACACAGCAGGAAAAACAAAGTTTTTAATTTGGTTTTTTGGAGTTGTCTGACAAATATTGCTCTTCTCTGAGAAGCCAAACACCCTTGATTTATAGATGCATTGGAAGGGTTTCCGCTAGCCCTACTGGTCTGATCTTTCTATGTATCAACCCATGAGTTCAAGTCAGGCACCAACTGATGAGGAGTCAATTCTGACTCGTGGCCCCCCAGGTGTTTCAGAGTAGAACTGTCCTCCATAGGGTTTTCATGGCTGTGGCTTTGCGGAATTACATCTCCAGGCCTTCTTCCATGCCACCTCCAGTATGTTCCAATCACCAGTGTTTGAGTTAGTAGCCCAACACTTAATCATTGGCACCACTCAGGGATTCCTTGAAGTCAAGCAATATGATAGAATCTTACGGGAAGTAGAAGAAGTAGACATAGAATGTTAGGCTCTACTTCTACTGAAAGGTCTTAAAGAATTGTCTTCCTCCAATCCCAATCCTACCTAGAAGACTACCATAGTCAGAAAGGAAGCTTGCTCCTGTACCATGTTGAGAGGATAGCCAGACATACTTTACCTGGCTTCAACAATGGGCACACATTCTTGGCAGTGCATTTTCTTGGCCAAAATTGTCAGTAAGATCATTATTGGAAGACTGGGAGGGTGGAGAAAGATGCTTGTTATCTCTATGTGAACAGAAATATCTCTGGCCCATTGGTAGTCCTCCAGCTTGTGTTTTCTCAGAAATTCATACATTCGTTCGAGAAATACATATTAAGTATTTCTATTGCACCTGATTCTGTGCTAGGTGTTTATTGTGAACAGAGAAGGTAGGCTTCACCTTCTAGGCAGTCACAGTGTAATAAGAAGATCAGAACATTTAAGTAGAAGTGGTTTTATAGCCCAGGTTCCCATGATGGAAAAGGAGGAGCTGAAGTAAATTCTCACCCAGCTCTGTCAGACAGCAGAGCCCTCCTCTTCCCTACAGAAATGAAATTTAATTGCTCAACAGCTAGTTGTAGTCAGCAGTTTGAACTTACCCAGAGGCATCTCAGAAGAGACTACTAGACACACAGGGTTGTCACAAGTCAACACTGACTCAGTGGCAACCAAAAACAACAATAAGGGCTGGACGGTAGGAGGGAGGGAAAAGGAGACTCACTGCTTCAGAGACACTGAGCTTTTGTGAAAGGTGATGGAGAATTTTGGAAGGCTAATAGGAATGATTGAACAGCACAGTAAACATAACTGATGTCATTGAATTGTACACATGAAGAAGGTGGAACAAGCAAAGAATTTATTACATGTAGATTGACCACAATTAAATCACAGCAACAACCAAAAAATGAACACATTAAACTGTCTCTCTATCGCTCTCTTTCTCTCCAGTCTGCAACCTCCTCACCACATTTTAACACCGGGAGCCTGGTATGGGGGTACTGACTGACTCCCTCCCTATTACTCATGAAGGCAAACTAGAACACCCATGGTGCTTTGTGAAGCCACCATCCCCTTTCCCTCCCAACCCATCACGAAGATCTGAATGCCAAGGTCTTAGCAATACTCTTTGCTTTTATTCTCCATACAGTGCTCCAGAAACTGCAGCGGGGGCTTCAAGATCCGGGAGATTCAATGTGTGGACAGCCGGGACCACCGGAGCCTGAGGCCATTTCACTGTCATTTCCTGGCTGGGATTCCACCCCCACTGACCATGATCTGTAACACTGAGTCCTGTGAGGAGTGGCACGTAGAGCCCTGGAGCCAGGTATGAACCCTAGAAAGGGAGAAATACCAGTCACACTTCCAGCACAAGCTAAAGTCTCTGTGTCTCCACATGAGTCTCGAAATCAGGGGAAACCTCTCCTGTGTCATGCCATTGGCTGACTTCCACTCTAGGGCCTAACACTGTCTAGGGGAGGCTGAGTGGGTCAAAGCAACTTCAAGAACTGAAAGTGTGCCATTGGGAAGGCTATGTTGTGTGGTTTCCATCACGACAATTCAGTGTTTCATTGTAACCTAATCTCCTATATGCGATATGCAGCTGACACAACCTTGCTTGCTGACAGTGAAGAAAGTGAAGAAGACTTAAAACATTTACTGATGAAGATCAAAGAGCACAGCCTTCA